TATAATCTTTTATATTTTTATTTAAAAAAGTTAACATAAAAAAGTCTGAGAATAAAGTATATATTTTTTTATAAATAAAGACATTTAACTTGTACCTATCATATAGGTAAAAGACAATAATATTATTTATAATATATAAGTACTATTATTATTGTTATTATTTATAAATTTAGATATTAACAATAATAACTTACGATTCTAAATTTTGGTACATAATAGTTCAATAATGATTTACCAAGTGCCAATTAGACTGAACTTTAACATTAGGAAATGATCAAGGTTTAATTAAATTGAAGTATTATATTGATGATTGTCCAAGGTTCATTTATAACATTAAAGATTGATGCATGCTCAATTAGGTTGGAGTATAACATTGGTGATTGACTAATGCTAAATAAGCCGTAATGTGATAGTGACATCATTGACACATAATATGTAGGTAAATAAAGTAATTTTGTCTGTTTACAATATGGAGATAATTACATCATTAATAGAAAAGTATGTAAAGTTCTTAGAAGAAGATTCTTTTTTAGTTGAGAGGTCATTGATTAAGTAGCCAGGATCCTTTGACAAAGGCAACGCATTTTCGTTACTCAACAATGATGCCATGTTTTTTCCTATCATTAGGATGATGTTGCACACATAAAATACTAATATTAATGCAATGCCTAGACTCATATAGAATGCACGAATCCTCCAAACTAACATCAATAAATTGTGTTGGATTTCCCTCTTTCGAGAATCTCCATGCCTGAAACATTTTATAACAATGTTATCTACTACTTGATTATATTAAAAGAAAATGAAGTTGTTTCTCACATATCCAATAAGATTATTGTAGTCATTTGAATAGAATAACTTTCTCTTTTTCTTGCCACTTGTTATCTCTAGCAATAATTCGTCAAAGCTAAATACATTTGATTTGATGAGAAATATTGTATTGAAAGTATATTTTGGAACCATATATATAACCACTAAAAGAAACTCAAAAAGTGTTAAGTTGAATTTGATTAACATGTAATAATAACATTTTAGCATGAATAAAGATATTTGAGTTTTAACAAAGATAAAGTAATCCCCAAAAAATTCCATTTATATATAATGTAAACACTTATGTCAATCAAGAAGTTTACTTCGACCAGAATCTATAAACTTCCATTGTCATGTTCCTTTTATCTTGCAAGAAATATAATAACAAAATGAAATCATACATTCAATTAATGATTAGATTTAGAGACAATAACCAAAAAGAAAGAAATCTAAACTTTTGTTGATCATATATTTTTATATAAGCAATTTCTCATCTTCTTGAATGTAACATCAGAAAAATTTAACTAGACTTAGATATTGAAGTTTTGCACATAACATAACCCATCATTAAATTCTTTTAACCCTTGTCTAGATGTTTATGAAAGTTTCTTAACAATGATCTCTTGTCTTTTGAGTGTATTAGTTATAAGAGTAAGTCCGTAGTGTTAGGAACAAATCCCCTAAGACATTCTTTCTAATTCACATTTTATTATTGGTTACAAATTATTATATAATATAAAATTAGAAAAGAAACTCAATAAATTTAGAAAGTATTCAAAACAACATATATTTGTGAGTATGTTATTATTGTTTCTCTTAATTTAAAATTTATCATATGTGTTATATATGTTCTTAATTGAAACATTTTCTTTTATTAAAAAGATGTTAGTCATTCATTGTAATATTGGGGACAATGGTAATATTTTCATATAATAATATATTTTCTCTATCTTATAGTGATGGATTGCAGTTTTATTAGTATTTAAAAATTTTCACTTTTTAATTTATTTAATCATCACAATTCAAAGTAATATGTTTATTTAGAGAATAGCTATTTTAGTAAAATTATATTAATTTTATCTCTATATAAAATTCTTTTCACCTTTTCGCCTATCCCTTATAAGACTCACTTCTAATTTTTCATATGCATTAATCATAATTTTTTTAAAATGCTCTTATATGATTAATAATTTTTTAAATAAAAGATAATAAATATTTAAAATTAATTGGATAAAAACTTTCTCTTTCTCAATAAGATTAGAAAAGATAAATAGATACATAAATATATTTTTTTCTCAAACATTAATTAATTACGTTAGAAATAATTAAATAAAAACATAAAGTTATGGCGATTCTTCGAGGTCATTCCATATATGCATTATCATATTGATCGAAAGACTATCAAAAGTCATTATGAAAAGATAATGCGGACCACACTAAAAAAAAATACATAATTGTAGTTATTTTTGCGGTTTCTGACGGTTAAAAATTGCTACAAATCGCATTACCAGTATCATTAATAACGAATATTTTATAAAAGCTAGTTTTGGGCATTAGCATCATAAAATTCAATCAGTTTTAAACCGCCACAAATTTACATTTTCGTTTGACTTGTTTATATTTTCTAGCGATTTTAAGTTGCCAAAAATACATTTTCTTACTTGTTGCTATTATCAGATTAACAAGAGCCCGTGGTAAGTATTGTCTTGACAATTCATTCTGCCAACTGATAGGTGTATATAATTATAACATATAGAAAGGCAGACTTCGGTGATTTCTTATGCCAGCCTGGACTTAAGACCAAAAATGATAAAACTTGGCTCATGCCTTTAGTATTGAGTTTCTCACCAAAATCTATTTTTTTAATCTAAGCAAGTAAGATCCTTTTAAAATTCAAGATCTATTTTTACAATTGAAGTCGCTAGGACCAAATGTCACATAGTGTTCTTGACAGTATATGAACATCCATACTACAAATTGTTTTAATATAAAATACAGAGTAGAACGGCAGAACCTACTTATCTTAAAATAGCCTTTTATATCCTGATATGTTGTACAAGTGTAATCTATTCATTGTTGGCAGGTCTTGCCTTGATGAAGATGAGGCATTTTTGACGACTGCAGATTCAACAACAAGGTTACTCTCTAAAGCAACTAGGACATTTAGAGATTGGAAAGGTTTGGAATACAGAGAAGCATTTCCCATGCAGAAACCTGCTGGTGCTAATTTCTACCCACCAGACACGGACAAAATGGTATCATTATGCTAAGCATACATTGTCAAAAGAATTTGGAACTACAAGGTTGCAGCCCTTCCATGGCGCATGACCAATCATTGGCCATTGCCCTCTAGCATCATCAACCAAGATCATTAACTGCATGCATTGATTATCATCAAAGCATTTTAAAGCCAATTTTAATAATTAACTTCTTAAATTTCTTGAAATTCTTTTTACCAATTTTAACAAGAAATATATCAAGATATGAAGGTTAAGAGATAATTTGCACAATGATCTATACTGGTTTAGCCATTCAAGGGCCTACATCTAGTTTCTAACTTAGCATCCCACTATATCAAGTCATTCCACTATAATATTCTTTACAAACACCATGTACAAGCAATATTATACTCAGAATGTAAACCACACAATCTTGATTCCACAAAATTTCAGAAACACATAATTCTTATACCCCACAAGAACCTACTTGAGAAAAACCTATCCCAAGATTTCTCTTTAACTCTTAAAGACATCTTATCTCAAAGAGTCATATACCTAGTAGTAAAAACAAAGTTTAAAGATAAAAAACAATACACCTGATGTGTAGAATGATCTTCCATAGAGATTAGCTCAACAATCTTTCAAGTTCTTTCAAGAACACATCTTTGTTCAATCTTGCTCTTGTAGTTTTTCTGAAAAATTTTATTTGATCTTCTCTCAAAAATGTTTTCAAATTACAACCATGTTTTTCTTTTCTTTTCTTGATCTTTTTAATGATCTTTCTTTCTCTCTTTTGATCATCTCATTTTTTCTTTTAGTTTTCAAAAAAAAAGTTATATTTATAGAGCAAACAAGATTTCAACATTAAAAACTCATAACAGTAGTAATCTATTACCATAACAGGTAATCTATTACCAGTTTCTAAAGAAACTGGAATCAGATTGATTCAAGAACTAAGGTAATCGATTACAAATCTTGATAATTGATTATCTCGTGTTTCAGAAATCATAAAACTCAATTTTGTTCAGAGGTAATCAATTACTAAACATGGGTAATCGATTAACCTGATGCTTTGTCAACTTGTTTCACTAGTTTTAACTTAAAAGTCACCATGGTAATCTATTAATTCAATTGGTAATCGATTATCACAAAAAGGACTTTAAATTCCACTTCAAAATTAAGTTTTAGTAATCTATTACTTGAAATGGTAATCTATTACTTGACTTAATATTGAATTTTTTTTTAATGAATCGTTTTATTTAATGTCAAAACACTTTGTAATCTATTAGCAACACTTGATAATCTATTCCATCATATTTTCACATGAAATAAGAAACATTGAGTTTATGTTTACTAAAACAAGATAAGTTTTTGAAATTAACCAATCATAACAAGCAAACACATTCAAGCCTAAGTCCTAGTAAACAATCAATACAATATCCTTTTCACATAGGCCAAAAATATAAAATGAAGTAAACTTAATCAAAGCTATATACAAAGTTAATTATAATTACATCAAAACTAAAACTTCATCTTCACAAAGAGCTTCAAAAGGGCTTTAGACTCAACAATATGAACTTGCTTCACATGACTCTTTGGACTTAGCCGAAACATTAAAACTAATCTATTACATTTGTTTACCTGACTTGATGTTTGACTTCATATGTCAAAACTCAAAACACTCTTCTTCACTTTAGCTTCTTCAAAAATACCTTCAATCCTTTTCTTTTAAATGCTACACGAAATACATATCATTAAGTTACTATCAAAACTATAGGGATGTTGGATGTGAAAACATATCTTTGGTTCAACAAAAAAAAAAAACATAATAAGTATATAATTTACTATACAATTTTTTCACTTTTATTTAGAATATAGTGTAGTTTTTTTTTTCCTTTTGTAAATGAATAAATTTCAATTATATGTATATCTTATACATAAAAAATAATACAAATATTTATAATACAATGTATAATTAAAAATGTAAATATGAACAACAATAATAATAACTTCCAATGTTTTTTGGTAGAAAACAATTCAATAATGATTGAAAGCCCTAACCAAATCAAGGCCTAATTAAATTGAAGTTTTACACTAATGATGGTCCAATGTCCAATTAGGTCCATCTGAAACACAAATGACTCTAACAAATGTCTTATTAGGTCAAAGTGTAATATTGGTGATTAACTTATGTTAAAAAAAGTTGTTGAGATAATGACATCATTAACAAGTAATATGTCAGTAAGTAAAGTAATTTTGTCTATCTACTCAACACTGAGACAGTGACATCATTAATAGAAGAGGATGTAAAGTTCTCTGAAGAAAATTCTCTTTCAGTTGAGATGTCTTTGATTAAGTAGGTAGGATCCTTTGGTAGAGACAACACATTCTCGTTACTCAACAATAGAACCACAGATGCTATGTTTGGCCTATCATTAGGATGATGTTGTAGGCATAAAAGACCAAGATGAATGCAACGCAAGGCTTCTTGTAGAATGCATGAGTCCTCCAAACTAGCGTCAATGAATTGCGTTGGATTCCCATCTTTCCACATTTTCCATGCCTATAGCATTTTATAAAATGGTTATTTATTTCTAAATTATATAAAAATAAAATGAAGTTATGTCACTTACATGTCCAATAAGATTATTGTAGTCATTTGGATAGAAGAGTCTATTATTTTTCTTGCCACTTACTATCTCTAGCAATAATACACCAAAGCTAAACACATCTGATTTGGTGGAAAATATTCCATCAAAAGCATATTCAGGTGCCATGTAACCACTAATAAAAAGCCAAAAAAAAGTTAATTAGAAGTTTGATTCATATGTAATAATAAGATTTTAGCATGAATAAAGATACTTACTATGTACCAACTACTCTACGTGTTTTCCCTTCAATTTGATCACCTCCACACATTCGTGCCAAGCCAAAATCTGAAATTTTTGGATTCATTTCACTATCTAATAAAACATTACTCGCCTTAAGATCTCTATGTATGATCCTTAGTCTTGAGTCTTGATGAAGATAAAGTAGTCCCCGAGCAATTCCATTTATGATGCAAAATCTCTTAGGCCAGTCAAGAAATTTACTTCGACTAGAATCTATCAATTTTCATGGTTATCTTCTTTTAATATTGCAAGAAATATATGAGAAAAAAATGAAATCATACATTCAGTTAACAATTAGATATAACGACACTAACCAAAAAGAAAGAAGTCTAAGCTTTTGTTGGCCATATATTCGTATATGAGCAATTTCTCATTTTCTTGAATGCAACACCCAAGAACTTTAACAAGATTTCGATGTTGAAGTTTTGCACATAACATAACCTCATTCTTAAATTCATTTAATCCTTGTCCAGATGTTTGTGAAAGTCTCTTAACAGCAACCATTTGTCCATCCAACAATGTTCCCTAAACACACCACATATTTGTGAGAAAGTTAATTAATGTAGGGGATATAAAAAATTTTGAGTGCTCATTTCAACATTATCAATAGGTACATTATTCACTTACTTTGTATACAGGCCCAAAACCCCCTTCGCCCAACTTATTGTCACTTGAGAAGTGATTTGTGGCATGTGCTATTGAGGCAAAGTGAAACAAAGGTAGTTCAAAGTCTTCTTGTTGGCTTGCATTATTATTTGCTTTGATCTTGGTGATCATCACTACTTCCATGCAAACAATTATTGTGAATAAGCAAAAATATATTATAAAAGGTGCTAATAAAGTAAATTGCCTTTTCAATTGTATTAGTTAGAAGAGTAGTGTTAGCAACAAACTCTCTAAAATATTTTTTAAATACACACTTTATTATTGGTTATAGATTATTAAAAAATGTAAAGTTAGCAAAAGAAACTCAATAAATAAATAGTGGAACTCACAAAATATTAAAGTTTTTAATAAATCTCAAATGATAGAAAAAAGTGTATTCAAAAGAATAAGATTGAGAGTATATTACTATTATTTCTCTTAGTTTGAAATTCATGGTACGTGTTATGTAAAGATAATGTAGACTAGGTGAAGTCTTACCTCTAAATTTTGTTTTTTTGCTCAAATAAATGAGTATGAAAATTAGTAGCATTGCAATGACGGAGGAAATGATGCTTGCGATCACAACCACCTTTTTCTTTGAATTGTCTTCATTTTCTTGAGCTTGACAAAGAAAGTGAAATAAATAATCAATATAAGAAGTAAATAGAGTAAAGTAAAATTATCGATCTTATACCTTGAGCTACAGACAGTGATGGAAGTCATATTAGATAAATTTTCTTATTAAAAGTAGAGACGAGTGTTTGAATCAAAATAAAGACGGAACAAATTATCCGTCACTAATTAATCAGAGTCGCCAAGAATAACAATGGATGGCTTTCTGTCTCAGATTTGGTCACTATATCAATAACAGACAAAATTATATTTAGACAAAAATGACCATCTCCATTTAAGCTTTTCCTAGTAGTGAGTCTTTCTTATTTTACGGATTTAATTTTTATAGAAATCTTATTTAACTTTTTCAAAATCTGAATTTATAAGTTAATATTAACTAACTAGATAGCTAGATTCATTTTTTTTTTCTTCCCCTATGAATATTTATAGATAAATTTATATAAAAAAGAAGACCTAAATAAAAATCACACCTGTTTCAGACACTGGCAATCTAATATACAGATCTTGTCCAGCATTTGGAATCAGTCTTATATCCAACAAATCATCGAACCAAATAGCACATCCACTTCCTTCTCCCCTTATGTCTGAATTTGCATAAGCCATACACGAACAATTTTTCCAACATGTCACCCTACATTCCTCAAGTGTCATACTTGCATTAACCCAAGATCTTTTAGTATCTGGTGCCTTAATGTTACTAAACTTTTGAAACCCATCCATGTTCTTTTCCCTACACCTCCAAGTTTGTTCGTGCACGCAACCTTGATACCAATTCATTTGGGTCCAATTCTGCAGCGACTTTGGCTTAAACCCATCTAAACAACTACACACCGGTGCCTGACCAACGTCACAAATCCCAAACGCGCCACAAATATTATAGTTGTCGCATAAATCACTCGGCAACTTTGAAGACACCATCCAGTTTTGACTATCTTTATTCCAAGTCAAACGCTGGCGAACATAAAGTGATTGATTCAACACAATTCTTGAAATCACTGACTTATCGTTCATGCTATATGTTAAGTAAAGCTCATCCTCGTTGGACACAAACGTGTAGTTTACTACTGAGTTGGATGGCAAAGATGGGTTACCGCTGAATTTTGTGCCATCAAATGGACCAATTCGGTAGATTTCTATTGTGCCCTTCCACATAGTCTCTTCAGGGTTATTGGTGTGCAAAATTGTCCCAGTGAAGTCCCCTGGAGACAGCAGTGTAAAAAAAAAAAAACTGAATTAACCTGTGCATTGAACCATAATTAAACTATTTATACATTATATAACTATTTTTTATCTTCACTTTTGACTGAACCATTAATATTAAAAAAAATAACTTCGTATATTTTTTTTACATAACCACTCACAATTATCTAATATTTTATTTATATAACTATTACAAATATAAAATATTTAAATTCTTTAATTTTAATATAAAAAATTAAACTAAACTACTTTTAAAAAAATTAACAAAACTATTCAAAACTAAATTGAATTCATCAATAAACTTTAAACTATTTTTATAAAAGTATAAAAAAAAAATTCAATTTTAATCTTTTTTAAACATAGAAAATGAGTATTTCAGTTCAGTTTAAATAGTTTATTATTGGAACTATTTTGTAGTCAAGTTCAATTTAGATAAACTATATTTCTAGTTGAATTCTTATATATTTAGTTTAGTTCTAACAATAGTCAACATTTACCTGGAGAAGGGTCATCCCAGTTTTTCCATGCGGTGAGGCCACGATGGAGCCCTCGTTTAAAGTCCCATCCCATTTTCATTCCCGGTAGAAACGTGTCTGAAGGGTGGTCAAAGCTCTGCCACAAATAGTTTTCAGGGTTCGTGTCTTTCTCATCTCGTAGGACCAAGTTTCCCGAGTCCAACAACTGTGCCACGACACCGATCGCTTTTGTCGTTGCGTTTGTTGACCATATAACGGTGCCGTTTTGGGTGACAAGTACGAGGTTGCCCTGCTTGGTTATGGTTAACTTGGTGGAGTTGTCTTTGATTGGAGTTTCGCGGTTGGCAACCCAAACCACGGTTCTTCCTGGTATGTTTTTGTACCATATTCCTAGGTAGCGGTTTTGGGAACTACTACCTGGGGTGAAGAAACCCAACTCGAAGGTTTCGTCGTTTGAAACCAAGGTCGTGTTTTCTTCGAGTGACTCTGACTGTGTAATGGTATCTGTTGCGGCTGAAAATTTGGAGAAGAAAAAAAATAGTTTGGTCATGAGAATGAGAATGGTAAGAATGGCCATTCTACGTTAGTGAATTGAGGACTCTCGATACAAAGAATGTATACTATAAAGTTGAGGTTCGCAGTATGAACTGTTGCAGTGATGTTGCGACAGTTCAATATAGAAGGAATCTATCATCAGAAATTTTAAATATATCAAAATTTCCCACCTAACCTAGCCAATAAAAATTAAAATTTAATTTGAACGCATGATTTGTCGACCAAGACCGTGACTTTACTAATTTTTATAATAATAATTTGATTTAATTTTTTTATTTTTAGTTTAGCTTACTTCAAAGCTACGTTACACTTACGAATCTCATATATATATCATGAGTTGAATTAGTAGTTTCTAGCATGCATTGAATATGTGTGATTAGTATTTTATGTTGGTCATCTTATCTTCAGTTGCAGTTGATTTATTTGTTTTATATTTCTAATCAATGCGCGTTTGAATTGTTGGACTGCATCATTATTCTAAAGTTTGGCTCAAATTCTGTTTGAAAAGTTGACTTAGATTTAAAATAAAATGAACAAACAAGTAAAACAAGGCAAGAAACTTTTTGCTTACGAAATTGAGGTGTAGACATTTTTCTTGATTAACGTTGAAACAGCAATAGAATAATTTAAAGTTTTAAACTAGTGTGCAAGTGCGAAAGTGGATTGAAAAATCGAAACCGGTTATAGTCAGAGGCTACTGGCTTGTTGTATGGTGGCGCCAACATGAACGCGGATGTTGAAAGACATTAGACACTGCAAATGGGCAAGAATCATGTGAAGAGAAGGAGCGTAGAATTTTCCACCAAATTGGGATTATTTTTGTAATTTTAATATTTTTTATGAATGAGTGACAAATATTTTAAATTTTTCTGGAATTTTTTTTTTGTCCATAGGAATTACAAGAAGTATTAACAAAAGTTTTGGACATACTATATCGATTCTTAAATTTTATCTTTATCTTTTCAAAAGCTCTAAAGAACGGGCTAAAAATTCAGAATAAATTAAAAAAAAAATATTTTTGAAATAAATTATTTGAAAAATAATTTACTAAAATAAATTATTTTTGTCACGTCTACACTTAGATAACATCATAGGGTCTTCCATGTATGGGGAAAAAAAAAAAAATCAAAGAAAATGTCACAAAGCTTGACGTTTTATGCATGCAAATTTTTATGAAGAAAACATCAAGAAGCATGACATTTAATGCATGCAACTTTTATATGAAGAAGACGTACGCACATGTGACGTTTTGTGCACCATGGGTTTTGTGCATCCACACCACCTTGACACCTTTACTCTCCCTTCTCTTCCCTTCCCTTCCACCCTCCTTGTTCCTGAGGATATATTTTTCTACACTTCAAAACAGAGTACAATATCAATATATATAGTCTCACAATAGACTCTTCAAATTTCGTTCTATTGGGATCACTCGAGAAATATATATTTTGGAGGAGTACCCATACCAAAAGGGAGGAGTACCCATACCAAAAGGGAATATTAGGAATCATAAGAATTTGAGAATTGCTCGAATAGAACAAGAATTGCTCGAAAAGAGTAGAGAAAGGAGGTTACTGGAGGTTTCTCGAGCGGTTACACCGAGGTGGCTATTAAAGAGCGGATCGAGGAAATAAAACACGTGGAGTGAATGGTTGTGGGAAGTTACATCTTAAGCCCACGTAGGTAATGTAGTGGACAACAGTTATGCACCCATGATGAATTTACGCAAAATTAACTGCTCTCGATTAAACTCTATAAATGCGAGAAACATACACCTTCACGGGGGTCGGAAATTTCATACTTACACCCTTGAAAGCACTTTCTGCCTACGCATATGGCTTCCGTGCATGCAATTGTTGGGTACTGATTTCTTGACCACATTTTCTTTTCTTCTTCTAGGATTAGGATTAGTGTATTTATATGCACGAGCATTATTGCCTATTAATCATCGAGGAGTATTTAGAAACAAATAATTATTAAGTCTTTCTACTCCATTTCGTGTTCGGTTAAAAACGTCAAATACCTAAATTGAAACATTTCTCGTGCTAGTTCGAATAAAAAGAATCCATAAATAAATTCCACCACAAACAAATTGGCATGCCCGGTGGGACCCGTTTAATTAAGAACATAATTGGACTAGCTTTAGGTATGTTGTATGAGACTTAGGAGTGGAAGAACCATGTCTACGTCTAGTAACAGGAGAGAAATAAACAATGATAATTGATAAGTGCTATGATTTCATTAAGTTTATGGCCTAGTTTGAAGCACTTATATCAATTTTCCTTGCTTTAGACTTTGTTTTTAACTCAAAACATATCTAAATTGTTAGGTGATCACATTTTGTTTTTGAATCATGTTTTTAGGTAACTTACAAGTATTTGGTTGTTGTTTTGTAGTTTAGGAGAAAGCTAGGAAAGAAGGAAGGAAGTCAAGCACAAAGTGGTGAATTTGAAGTTGAAGGAATTTTTGGTTAAGTTCCCAGGCTAAGCCCCAGATCCACGCTTAGCCTCAGCATGGCAGAGAATCCCTGGAACAGAATTTTGATTCCCACGCTGAGCGTGGAACTGAGGCTTAGCGTGGATTGTGCTGACATGTCATTATTCACATAAGACAAAAGCTTTTATGACCTAAAAGTGGGATTTTCGAAGAGAGAAGCAAGGAGGATCATTCTTGGACTTTGTGTGGCGGCTGGAGAGCTCTGGAACCTTCAAGATCAAGCTTCTTCCTTTCTTCATCATTTGTAGAGTTCTACATGTCTATGTGTAGCTAAACTCACCCTTGTTGGGGTTTGATGTAACTAAACCCATTCTCATGTGTAAACTCTAAGCTATCAATCTAAGTTGTTATTCAGTTTTATTGCTCTTTTTCTGTGCATAATGCTTGTTATGCCTTGATCACCCTTAACTTGAACTTAAGGTTTTTAAGAGATTGAGAAATGATTTTAAACCTTTGACTTGAAATAGAGCAGCTAATGGTGCTTATTGCTAGAGATAGAGTAAATGCCATTAGTCTTTCTTAAGCTCTTGTTTTTAAAGCTGGTTTCTAGGTTAAACTATGCAAGAGATTGATAGTTTAAGCTAGTAACTTAGATGCCAACTTGTAAGAGATTAGGGTTGGTTACTTTTGAGAGTGATTGATAAATTCTAAATAATAACTATTGTGAACTTAGTGATAAGCATGAGAGGAAGGTTTAGTGAAGTCAAACCAAAACAATTTATTAATATTGCATTAGAATCAAGTTTTGCACTCTAAGTGTTTACCAAAACACCAAAAAGAATTGTTATTGCTTGTTTACATTATTTACTGTAGCAAATCAAACTCTTATTTTTCGGTAGCTTAGTTATTATAACAAGTGAAATTGCAAAGTGTTGCGCAAGTCCCTTGGGAGACGATACTCATACTTTCATTGAACTACGTATACGATTTGGTACACTTGCCAAATGACATAACAATAATCAAGTAGATGTAGAACACGGAAATCCCAACCCCGATAACGTGACTAATGTGACAAGGGGGGCAACATCTCCCCCTGTTGTGCTCGACAATGTGGCTAGGCAAACAAATGTGTCCCAAGATTTCGCAAATGCCACTAGAGAATATCCATGGGGTATGCCGCCAAATTGGTGAACTACTCAACCTATACATGTCGAAATGTCAGTGCCTTATTTGGGACCAAATCCACAAATGCATGTATCCCCACATGGATATAATCCCGGGCCAAATGGTTTGGGTTTTGTCATGCAAGACCCATATCAACATGTGGGGACAAGTCACGAGGGGTCTATGGTTCGATAGAGTAGTTATGTCCCTACAAGTATCAGTAATCAAGCCATGATGGCTCTTCGACAACAAATGGACCATAGTAACCATGATATGGTTAATTTGTTGTCAACTCAAATGCATAACATAATGACCCCTTTGTATGAATTGATAAATAAAATTGGAGACAAGTTGGGAGATAGGCCACCTTCGAGAGCCATGAGTGCGAATTTGAATGATATGGAAAATCCAGGTGGGAATGTAGTTTTTCCCCAGAATGTAGGACGACCTCAGAGGAACCCTGAGGATAACTTAGACCAAATCGTAGAAAGGGTCTTAAACAAACATGGTTTCGAGGTAGGTCGAAATGAACGTCCCTATTTTGTGTCTGCTTTTCGAGAATATATAACTCAGGTAGAATTGCCTAGGGGGGCAAAAGTCTCGAAATTTTCAAAATTTGTGGGAGAGTTGAATGAGTCCACTGTCGAACATATAGCTAGATATTTAGTCGAATGTGAGGATTTAGCGAATAATGAATATTTAAAAATGAAGTATTTTTCGAGTTCGCTAACTAAGCATGCTTTTACATGGTTCACAACATTGCCTCCTAATTCGATAAACACTTGGGCTCAATTGGAAGGTAACTTTCATGAACATTTTTTTCGAGGAGAAACCAAAGTCAGTATAGTCGATTTAATGAATGTTAAGAGACAAAATCAGGAAATGTTAGACGACTATTTGAATAGGTTCAGGAAGTTAAAATCTTGATGTTATACTAATATACCTGAACATGAATTAGTTAAGATTGCTGCAACAGGGTTAGATTTCTCAATACGTAAAAAATTGGTAAATGAACAGTTAAGAGATATGGCCCAATTAGCAGAGAAAGTAAGGAGAATTGAGCAAATTAAATTAGAAAAGGAAAGATTAAGGAAGTTTGACAGATTTGTTCAAAAAGAAAAGGTAGCCTATTTAGAGAACACAGAGATAGGTGATGATATTAATGGTGAGGGTTCGAGTGAGGATTTTGAAGTTAATATTGCTTAATTACGTCCTGGCCCTACCTATCAATGTCAAATGTTGAAACCAGGAGATAATGTGGAAGGGAATCCAACTAGGAGATATAGTTTCGATGTGACTAAAGCTGATAAAATATTTGATATTTTGTTAAAAGACAAACAGATTGCACTCCCAGATAACCATAAAATTCCTCCATTCGAACAAAGAAAAGGGAAGAAATTTTGTAAATATCATAATATGTATGGTCATTGGACTAATAATTGTGTGCGTTTTAGGGATATGATCGAGAAAGCGATCACTGATGGTCGTCTGGCTTTCGAGGAAAAG